CCCCAAAACCCCAAAACCCCAAAACCCCATACTCACTCAATTCCGTTGAACCAACCTTCCACATAAAAACCCCACTAAGAAACCCCTCTTGCCCTCCCTCCTCATTCTTCTTCAGTCCTTCTAGCAGAAGCCCTCTGGGGCTTCTGCTAGAAGGCTTTTGAAGTAGAAGGGAAGTAGGGGTCAGGAGAAGGAGGATTAGAGGGAGGTTATGGTGGGTGGTGAAGAAGAGGAAGAAAGGTGGATTTTTAGGAGGATAGGGCCGGGTGTTGGGTGGGAAGGAGAGTGGGTTGGGAGAGGAAGGGGAGGTGGGTGAAGGAGGGGGTTTGAGGGGTTTTCAGAAAATGAATATGAAGAGAGTAACTTATTATTTGGCAGTTATAAAGAATGTTAGAAGTGGGAGGTGGGTAATTGGATTGTAGCTTGAAGTGGCTTTGTTGTTGTTGATACAAAATTTACAGCAAATAAACCATTAAAAGTTTCAAACTGATTACTGAAGGGCTTCTCGCAATATCTTTTGTAAATTTTTTTGTAATTTTTTTGAAATTATAACCTAGCCTATGTTCTTTAAAGAAAAGAGTCAAATTATAGCAACAATTTATTTCAAAATAAAAGATTAATAATTAACCCTAACTCCTTATCTCTGAGCAAGATACACGATATTATAATTGGAGAACAGATAAGTTTGGAAGAAAAGATGATAAAAAATTCATCAATTATTTAATAATACGGAGAGTAAGTTTAGACCTCCTTTTACTAATCGACTTAATCTCCAAAATTTTACTTAACACCAAAGACTATAACTTCCAAAAATTCTCCAATATAACTCATACTTCCTTCACCCATACTCTATTCCCTCCTCCCTCTTCCCACCCACCCAACCCCTTTCCAAATTCTTCAATCCCGCTAACCTTCGGTTCTGCCCTCCCACTCAGAAAATTCACCGACCCCATCTATCACTACTGTTCCTTCATTCAAACCGACCAGATCGAATTAGTAACTGAACTAAGTTTTTAGAAGTATAAGTTTGGAGTTTAAGTTTAGATAGGGATTTTAGAGTTATTGTGCACTTGGGATATCCTTCATTGTTACAGTTCGCCAAAGCTGGTTTTTGTGGGAAGTTGAAGGTCTAGCAGGAGAATTCATAGTACTTCTGATCTCAATAGCTTTGTGAAGTAGGTCTTTTATATCTAATTGTAGTTTTGACTTCGTAGTACATCTCTGTTCTAATAACTTGGCTGAAGATAAACATCTAGAATGATTCTTCGATTTGATTGCATCGTATGTATTTTCTTTCCCAGAATATGAAAATGTAGGAATTCACCTAACCGAACAAGATGGAGGTTCAGGTAAATCCTTCCTCTTACCCTTGTTTTGAAGGGGATTGTTTCTCATATTCTTGTCAATTTTTAGAGATATGCTAATTCTTGAAGCCGAAACATTCTCATCAAGAAGTTCTTCTGATAAATTTTCATCAAATATACTTAAGGTTTTCATATTTAATTATTATCAAATCAACTACTGGAATCTTATATGGGGTTTTGGGGTTTTGGGGTTTTGGGG